ATAAGTTTTCTTAACCATGGGTAGAGTCTGGTTTATCAGCTGATACACTAGATCACTGAACCATACCCCCCTTCCTCTTCTCCATCCTCCAGGTGAAGTGGGGAGTAACGATCACAGACAATAACTACAAAGTGATGGATGCCGAGAAATGTGACGGGTTAGCAGAAGTACTGACATACCTTTCATCGCAAGAAGAATATGTACAAAGCCGCTGTTTATGCACATGTTAAAACAGATTTTAAGGCTTACATCTGTACGAAATAGATTAGGCTTCAGTTCGATACGGCTTTGAGTTTCCTCTTTTTCACTTTCGACTTCAGAGTTTTAATGTCAACCGTGTCTTCGGCATTCGCTGGCTCTTTTGACTGGCGTCTCTTCTGCAGTTCTGGCTCTGGAGGAGGGATGAACATTTTCTGTCGTTTCTCCTTCTGTTTCTTTTTCACTTCTTCTTCTGACTTACGCTTATCCTTCAGGTTCTTCTTCTGCTTCAGGAAATATTCACCAGTTTCCAATTCAATATCCACCTAAATTTATAAAACCTCAAAGTCTCCACGCTTAAACGTCACTTCAACGAGTCATACTGGCACGAAATTAAATTCTGCTGCCTGAAGAAATAGAATTTTCATTATATATGATTCATTATATATGACGAACACAAAAGGGCCACTTTTCAACTTTATCACAGCCAGTCGTAAGTGAGTGTGTCTGCTGTTTCATTATGTTGTTAACTTGGTGTAGGGAGCAGTGATTTGAGCAAAGTACGGCGAAATCCGGCCTGTAAACCAAAAAGTAGTACATTACGTACGGCATATGACACACCCATGCCTTCGAATAGTGCATACAAAAAATGTCCAGGAAACTAAAGTTACTTTTTGTTTGGTTAGGTACAACCATCTTTGGCAATAAAGAGAAGCAACGTAATGAACATTGCACAATGTATTACCTTAACATTACTTCGATCACTTATGTTGTAAAGCACTTGCTAACATTCTCATAGACGTTAATATTAAATTATCAATAAACTTAGAAATAATTCGCCATTCTGTCATTCACTTTTAGCATAAACGTCTCTGTGACAGAAGAGTTCTTCGGTTTAAATCGTTCACAGATTTTTTTCAACAAGTCAAAAACATAGTCTTCATTATTCTTACGGGATTGTTTAGTATATACATATACACTTTAATACACGAAGATCGAAATCGTTTACCATGGAAACATACAGCAGAGTAGCGCAATCTGGACCGGAAAGAACTTTAGATTTAAAAAGATCAAAGAAGCCTTTTATCGCAGGCCAACAGATATGTACATAGTGGCAATGGCCTGCACATGAACAAAATTACGACGTCGACTGTTAATCAAGCGTTGTCAATTAATGACCAAAATTTACCTTAACAATTTGACATTGCAGGTCTGCTTCTATCTTGACAATAACGGAGGATAGCTCGAAACATCAGTGATTTATGTAATAGCGTGTATACACGGAGAAAATGCGTAGGAAGCATGAAAAACAGTTTTAATCTCCCGCATAAAAGAAGAATGTTCAATTTTTAAGTCAAAAGTACCCACAATTCTAATTCTCATAAAAAATATTTGTTCGAAACATTAAATTGTCCGTTTACATTTACTTATTTGTCTTGTCTAACATGCATTAGGTCATTATTGTGCTTTTTGTACATATCCGCTATTTTTTGTTAATACAGAACACCGGAATTCGCTGTCGTCCAATTCATGCAGTCATTCATATGTCTTCATGAATCAACTGACACTGCTCTAACTGTGTCTACATGAAATCACAGATTACAATGCTATTGTGACTGATTAAACCACAGCTGAGGAAAGGGTGCAATATTACCTTGCTT